CCCGCTTCTCTCTCTCCCTCTTTCGCTCCATACATACATACATATATCATGTGTACATGCGCACAATGAAAGATAACTGAATGACAAAATGGTCATTTTTAATTCTCTTCTAACAAACTAAAGTATATTTTTCAACTTATAATAAAAACTATCTACAACTAAACACCAAAAATTCGAAATCATCTAAACCACAGTAGTTGGAATCTTCTTAAATAGACAAAAAATTAAATAAAAACTGAATTCAGATATCTTGGTTCAACCATATTTATCTTCATTATGCTACAGCTATGTTGAAACATGCAGAACTGTTTCACCAAAGGCAGGCCTAACTCTAATGGACTGTATTGAGGAGATTACTGCAATTTAGAAGCTCAAAAAGCAAGAGTATCTTAAGTTCCCATAAAAATGTAGCATACGCCTAGACATAAAATACAAAGGCCTGCTTAATTTACCAAGAAGCTGGAAAATCAATTCCAATGCTTATGCATTGAAACCTACTTACTTGTTATGACAACTAACAGCAGTCATCCATTTTAGTGCCATCAAATCAGATTTTAAAAAATGAGCAGACAAATATAAAAATGCACTGGATTCACTGATGAAAAGAATTTAGCGGTTTTAAAAGCACTCAAGAATTTAATTAAAAGACAGCTTACCAAACTAGTGCCATATGTTTCAGTCTTGGCATAGCGCCTAGGAAAAATTTTAAAGTCTACTGCCAGAATGCATATGCATGTTATTACCACCTACAACAGTATATACAGCAAATTCATCACTATAAACAACAGTATAATAAAATAGAGAATTATATATAAATTGTTATCTAAAGAAGGAATGTACCATGAAAACACGGTATGATAAAATACTCATCCTGGAAGATGATAAATTCTGTTGTCCAATTTCACTTTTGAGGGTAGGACGGCTTGGCCTAAATATGATCTGTTAAATATAAGTTAAATTTGAACAGAAACCATACAGATTATTTTTTGTTGTCATTTAGTAAATAGATCGCAGAACTAAGAATCACTTTCATTTGTATGAATTACCTTTTAGATAAAATGCAGATAAGCAGCACAATTATCAAGATAATTGCCAAAATATAAATCCATTCAGCAAGGACCTGCTACATATGAGCACATTTTAAGCAGATTCCAGGCATTAAAGAGAACTATAAAATATTCCAACTACTTAAAGTGCATGTGATGCTATTTTATGCAAAAACCAACTTGAAGCATTATAACTACAGTGTTATAAGCATCAAATCAAAATAGACTATAAAACTTGATGGTGAGAGCACGAGCAGAATTAGGAAATATCAACTGTGAACTGCAAAGCAGGAAGCTGATATTTTAGATGTCTCCAAAAGAGCTCTAGTGGTGGAAGAAAATGGAAAGGGGGGCAGTCGGGGGGGCGCGGGGATTTTAGGGTCGAGGGTATTTATTGGCAAAAATGCAAAATAGATATGGATGTAACCAAAAAATACAGCCAAGCTACAAATTTCACAGGAGAAAAGCTATTAATCTTAAGCCACTATGCACCACATTCAAAAAAAACAGTAAGAAGGGATAAAATCTAATTCTGATTGAAGTCACAATAAAATTAATTGAATGCATGTACAAGAAAGTAGCCACTACCACTGAAGTCTTCAAATCTAACGCTCGATCAAGGAATTGAATAACTGAATGAGAAAGATAAACACATTTAAAATAATTTTTTTATTTATCAGAGAATGTTTTTCCGTATCTCTCACACCGTGTCACCATTATCTATAGATCTCATTGAATTGCAAATAAGAATAAAGAAATCAACTCAAGAAGCAACAAGAGGATGAACTGAAGAAATCACAGCCAAGGCACGACCCACAGAATATGTGTCACAGTCCTACAACTGACATTCTACAGTTTCAAAACAAAGCCGTCAGTGAACACATAGGAAACAAAAATTGGGCCCAACCACAAATATAGAATTGCATGAGTCACCTAATAAAGAATTCCCATAGAACTAGAAACAACTTCAGAAATAAGGATCCTGGAAGAGATGGAAAGGAAATAGAAGACACGAAGAAATAGGGAATCTATAATCAAAGTCAAAGGAAGCCTGAAATTAGTACAGTAAAGTACAAAAAGTGAAGCTATAGATGTGACTGTTCCAAATCTTTGAATCAATCAAAATTTATTGGAAACTATCCTCACAAGCGAAAAATGCTGAATTAGTTTAGGTGTGACTGTTTTGTTCTTACATTCATGACATACCAAATTGTATATTGATGTGGCTAATTTTTTTCCTTTTCTTCCCTCCTTCAAGAGATGAGATATGGTTTTATCGTATTACAATATATGATTATATCAAACTCGTGAAAGCCTCCTCTCCATCATTGCTTAATACTATCGATGCTCCACCTTAAAATTACCTGTTTTTAGTGCATATTTTATGATCGTTTTATGCATATTTTATGATCGATTTATGCATATTTTTAGTGATATTGCACTTTAAAGGAATATATTTTGTATGTTTTTTATTTCAGGTGCATAGAATAAAATATTTTGAGAAAATGAAAGAAAAATGAGTAAAAAATGTGCAATTTGTACGGCGTCATAATGCCGGCCCCTGGCGCTATAGCGCCACAGATGCGTGCAGTAGACGCTATAGAGCCCAGACCGACGCTATAGAGCCAGTAACTTCCCTTCTAGAAGATACATTGAATTTGGCCAAATTTTGAAGGGGTGTTTGAAGCAACCCTTAGTTATTTTAAGAGACCTATTAATATGGACGAAAATTGGACAAAAATGAGAACTTTTTTGGGGTGTTTGAAGCAACCCTTAGTTATTTTCAGAGACCTATTAATATGGACAAAAATTGGACAAAAATGAGAACTTTTTGACAGCATTTGAAGGCTTTAGGAAGTCTCACTTGTGTGTTTAAGTATATGTTTTAGTATGTTTTGTGTTGTAAAAGTAAGAGTTTAGAGATTTCTTCAAGAAGACTCCAAAATTTATGTTGGGGAGAAGACATAAGATATTTTATATTTGTGTTTAAGTTTTTATTTCTAAGATTTGGATTTTTATTCAAATTTGGTGTTTCAGTTTTATTCTCCATGAATTCTGAGTAGTTCTCTTGCCTTCTCCTTGCTCTTGCGAATTAATCATGTGGGATGAGAATGATTTTAAGATTTTTTTTTTACTTTTAAAAATTGTCATAACATTTTCACCGATTCTTCATTGACTTTACAAATTGACAACTTGTGAGGTTAAAATCCGTTGAGAAACATAAAGCCCATGAGGGCTATGATTTCACCGAGGGAATGAATGTCACACTTCATTCTGGGCAGACTCGTTGTGATCACCTAAGGGGAAGTGCAAATAGAAAGGGAGATAAGTTTTAATGGGCGTAGAATTGATGTTTCTAGGGTGACATACTAGATTATTTTTCAAATTCGCTTTAGAGTTTGGATCATAAGAGTCCCTAGTATGTCCTATAGAGAGAACACAGTAGATAATCTAGAGGTGAGAGGCCAGAATCTATTCAGCACTACTACACAAACTGATAAAAATCTCTAAATTAGTTAATGTTCTTTGCTAGCACTGGGAGAAGGTAAAAAATATGAATGCTCCTATTTGTCACAATACATTATCGTATTTTTAGTCATTCAAAATCTACATAGATTAATATCTCATTGCAAGGGGAAAGATCTTTACATATTATTCAACTTATTAGAATTATTTTTTATCAAGTTGTTAAATATGATTGTTTCTATCTTCTTAAATTTCGTTTTAACCATTCTTATCATTTCGTTTTCATTTAAATATGCAATTTAAATAGAATTTTCTTTTGAGTTTAGCAAGACAATTTAAATAGTTCAACTATTCTCGTGGGATCGATACTGGTATTTTTAAACAAAATTTTATATTATTTGAAACGATACGTATACTTGTGTAGTACCTCTAGTGTGAAATTTTATTATTTATTTTCCATATTATTACATTTATTCACAATAGTTGCTGAATATAATTTGGGTCAAGTTTTTTACAATATTTTAAAAATTAAAAATACACGTAATTACGGGTCGGGTCAATCAACGCACTTGTTTCTTTCATAGATCTAATCGTAAGCATATTCTTATATAAGTTAATAAGCATATTCTTGAAACTATCGAGCACACGAAGCTCAAAGCATTCCAAAACATAAAAGCAGAAAAACAAGGCTTATCCATGTGAAGGAAGCTACAAACAAATGTTCAGGCAGAATTATTATTTCTATCTTACTTTTTCCTTATTTCTTCCGTCCTTTATGAGGCCGGTTATGGTTTTATTTTTTGCAATATATGATTATATCAATGTCATAAAAGCCCCTCTCCATCATTACTTCTTACCATTGTGTCTTGTCTAGAACACACTTGTTTCTTTCATTAGATCTAATTATAAGCATAATCTTGTACAAGTTAATAACCATGCTTATGAAACTCTTGAGCACAAGAAGCTCGAAGCATTCCAATATCGTAAAAGCAAATAAATATTGTTTATCCATGTGAAGGAAGCTATAAATGAAAGTTCATACAGAAATTGGAATGCACATTACTAAGATGTTGTTCATCACCATATTATCGATACATGGATAAATATATTTTATAGGAAAAGTGTGCTAAGAAATAGCAATAAAAGTTTCTTATTAATCGCATACTGTCACTTGTTGTAATGAAGATATGCTTAATAGATTGCAGAAAAACATTAAAGTAAGTACCGCTATAACAACCTTTTCTAAAATGACAGAAGAGTGAACTTACGGTAAAAACCAAAATGACCGGCAGAATAACAATGGCAAAATCCTTTGTCAACCCAACTATAGAATTCCACAAATCCTTACATTTCGAAGTTTCTCTATCATTCATCTGACCAGAAAAAATGTTGGTGCTGGTACTAGCAAGGCCTGCAAGGTGGCAAAGAATCATATAATGTAGTCCTCTGACAATATTCTCAAAAAAATCAGGGATATCATAACACAAGTTTTTTTTTCTTTAATCAAAATCTGTATTTCCATATTGTTTTTTTTCTCAAAAGATGAGTTAAATGGAAAATCTGAAATGAGCTAATTTTACTAAATTATCATGTAAGCATGACTGAAAGAAAATGAGCAACATTAGCAAAATATCATGTACAATCTATTTGTGGAATATTCTGTGCATTTTGAAGAAGAAAAATAAAAGGTGGTGTGCCCCGTGCAAAGAGGTTGTTTTCATAATTCAAATAACGACATAAATATCAAAATGGCATCAGCCTAACCAATGTTCACCTCTTAAGCATTATATAAATAATGGTTGCCGTTAATATTGGGTTAAGTCATCATAGAATACAAAGCTCTCTTGGAAGTAACATCCAAAAGCTCAACGTTAAACCCCCAATATCTTGCTAATATATTTGCTAAATTATAACTGTAAGTTATACCTAAAAGAAGATACAGCAACTTTATATAATACACTCAAGAAAAATTCAACTGCATAAAAAACATAGAAAGAGGATTTTGATTGAATGTCAAATGCATATCTTTCATTTAACTCACATTATAAAACTACTATTGTGTTAGATATTTAGCATAATTTTATGTTCTTTATTTGAAAGAAGGGACTTACTTGCTAAACAATCTGACTTTGTTTGCAAGTTACCAGGTTTCGTCAGCCTATAGGTAAAGTAACACCTCATGACAAGATGAATATGAGTAATAAATATATCGTACTATATATGTAATGAGAAAATCTGATATGAGATGCTAGGAATGTTTACGAAGTTGTTGGACATCAAGGACAAGTGGGAAAAAAAAGACACACCGAATGAGCTTATTCCAAGTTTTTCAAAATGGGGACATAAACTCGAGTTAGTGTCATGTTTATAGCTTTTGCACTTCTATATCCCTGCATATAGAGGATTTTCCTCTTGTTTGTATGATCAAAATTAGTGTTTTTCAATCCCAATGAAATATGGTGATTATTTTATTTAGTCAATCATAGCACATAGGGATTAAACCAATAATGATCATGACTTATTGTTTTTACTTTGGATCCTTGGTACGTGGTATGAAACTGTGGTTTGATCAATTTTGGATATGCAAACTGTAGTCATAAATACGAAATATAAATAAAAATTCATGCTAGAATTCATCGTTACACTATAGGTGATCGTCTGAACCAAGATCTTAGCAGTAGTATAGTGCTTTTCTAAAGATTAGAGACGTTGGATCTCTTTGCACTGGACAATTATAGTGAGTACTATTAAGACTGAGGAAACTGTTGGGAGTATCCTTAGATGACTCAATAACTTAAAGGCATTAATAGTTTTGTTTTAAGATGTTACTTTAAATTACCCTATTTTATTTGAAGTACATAAAAGTTTTAGTGAATTGTTTTACTTCAATATCTTGTTGAAATTGGTCAAATCTACAATCTAAATTTTGGAGTCTCCAAGTTTTGTAGGATGGCTGCGGAAGAAAATCCTACTTAATGAGGAATTAAGTGAATTGCGCAATGGACAGAAGTAATTGGTGTCAACGTAAGTTTAAAGATAATAAAAACATAGGGACAGCTTTTTAGAGTCAGCTTGTCATTTTTAACATGGTCAAACAATGTCAATTAAGGCTTAAAGCAACATAATGTCCATGGGAGATGTGGGAAAGTACATCATGCATATGTAGGAGAGATGTCTAGTTTAAGAAGAGACAATGCAAACCCAAATACTATAGTGACAAGGTGAAATTAAAACTAGAAGTTCTGGATCACTGGATGATAAAGGACCCACCAAGGTGCAAACTGTGGAGAGTTTTGACTTGCCTTTGTTAGCCATAAATTTGAAATATAACTTTCTTTTTATCAGGATAGAATTGCTAGTTAAATATCATAGCTTTGAAAAAGAGTTCTTTGCCTTTAAAACAGAAAAATCTTGCAGCAAATCCACTGTGTAAATACTCAAGGTATCATCCAGTTCAAATTATGTAAGGCATGCAAGCACCATCCTGCATTTGGTGACGTAAGGAAAATAAAAGCAGTTCAAATTATGTAAGGCATGCAAGCACCATCCTTGAGCATTTGGTGACGTAAGGAAAATAAAAGAACTCTCAGTATGGGCATGGATTTTTCAATGATTTCAACAAGTTTCACGTCCTGGGTAGCAACATGTTTGTGATATCATAATTTTGTGAATTTGTTTATGTAACTGATTTCTCTGTTTTGAGATAATGTAGGCAAACCATATTTGAACAACTTTTGGCATCACATATGTTTGCCAAGGCTGCAGTAATTCATAAAAAAAAAAAAATTAAAAAAAAATTAATCGTCAGTTTGTTAATGACATTTATTGCTGATTTCATGGTTGTGGATCAATTTCCCTCATTAAACCCTATAATTAGATCAAATACAGTGCATAATTCCTATGAGGTGTTGGTATTATGAAACCTCATTATCATTTTAAGTATTGAACCTGTTTTACCATAATTCTTCTGTACAACACCAGTCTATATCACTTTTGTGCACTTGAATCCTTATTAAGGTTATCAATTCATCATAAATCATGTCTTTTATCCTCCATGGTACATGTCCAAATAATCTAAATTTATTTTCAGCACCTTGTCTTCAATGGGTGATGCTCACATCGTTCCTCTTAAATAATCATTTCTTGATCCGTTTTTTTCCTAATTTTGAAACACCATTATAGCGATATTCTCATTTTTGTCACTTCAAGCATGTTTATTAGTGATTCGTTATCGCCAATAATTCAATACATAAAGCACAGCAATTCTAATAAAAAAATTTATTTTCTAGAAATAGTAAATACTCGACAGCACAGGATTTCATATAACTACATTGTCAATGGTGAAGTGAAGAACTTGTGATCTCCAAAAATCCAGCAAACCATGTTTCAGTATCTGTCAAGAGAACATGTATGTAAGAAATAAACTACCTCTTACAGAGCCGAAGCTAATCCATTTCCGGAGAAGCACCAATGTCTATAAAAAAACTCTTGTGTTGGATCAAATGATGCAGTCTAACCAATATGAGGACGATTGACTATAAAACAAATGGTATGGCTTACCGGTACAATCAATAAAAGAGTGGCGATCTCCAGCATAGAGGACCCAGTTAGGTTGCTCACGAAACTGGAAAAGAGAGAGCTGGTTAGAAAAATCACAGTGATGAACTGAACGAAGAAACGGAGAAATAAAAAGATCACAGAAGATCGTACTCCTCTTTAAGTCGTTTATTGGGATTGAGAGACTTCTCTGAGAGATCCATCGCCGCTGATTGACAGGGGACAAAAGAAGATGCGCCCCTGTTTTCAAGGAGGTAAAGCGTCGGCGGCGGAGAACGCAAACGTTCGCGACAGTTGCCGGAGTAGGGGCCGTCGGCGGAGAACGTTGCGGGAGTAGGGGGCGTCGGCGGAGAACGCAAACGTTCGCGACAGTTGCCGGAGTAGGGGCCGTTTGGTAGCCGGTTTTATGCTCCAGACGTCAAAAATGGCATTCAAAAATCCTACAGGTTCTTAAATTCCATTTTTTCTCCGTGTTGCCTTGAATCCGGAATGTAGTAAATCGAAGGGAAAATATTTGCCCAGTACTTATATCAGATTTATACCCTCTCCAACTTTTCTGTAATTTATCAGTAAATATCCGAATTATATAAATACGAAACTTATTTATAGGTTACACATATATTACGGGTAGGTTATACGGAGGTTAAGTTATACCTTCTGAATAACCTCCGGACGTAAACAGCTTTGCGTAAGTCTTACGCAAATATATTCTCTTGAGAAGACAGATTTACAGTATTTAGATAAGCTAAAGTTAAAGATTTTATATAAATACTCTTTTAAAAAATAAGCTTAAGAGCTAACGAGTTAAGTCAGGACTGACGATGGAGCCACATATGAAACCGAGTCGGGCTTGACTCACTTGCACCCATACGGCCTCGCCCAACATCAACCTCACTCCGCTCTCCAATTCCCTCGGTTTCTTCCCAAAACACTCGCCATGTACCTCCCCCGCTCCCTGTTTTGTGGAAAAATATTATATCAGGACTCTTAAAGTAGAGCTACGTTCGGAGTCCACTGATATGCAGACACATGGAGGTAACAGAAAAATTTTTTAAAAAATCATTTTACCACCGAAAATATTTCTCCAATATTATTTCACATTATTCATGTGTTATTATGATGATATTTATGTGTTATTGTATTGTAGTGATATTCTCAATACTATAATAATTAGGGTTGTAAACGAGTCGAGCCTGAGCGAGCTTGGCTCGTGTTCGACTCGTTCGAAATAGGCTCGTGTTCGAAATCGGCTCGTGTTCGAAATGGCTCGTGAACAGTGTGTTGGTGTTCGGCTCAAAAATGATATTCGTGTTCGTGTTCGGCTCGTGTTCGGCGAAATTGTCTCGTTATAATATAAAATTATTATAATAATTTATTTTTTTAAGAAAAAAATCATAATAAAAAATGTTTGTACTAACAACTTAATTCCAAACAAATTTGAAGAATATTAATACTTTTTTACCCAATTTTACAAAATACAAACTTCATTACAAATTTTACAATTTACAAATTAAACAAAAATATTAAAATTTACAAAATACAAGCTTTTACAAAAACTTCAATACAAATTTACAAAACTTTACACAAAAAATATTAATTCCTTTTTTACAAAATTTTACAAAATAAAAACTTATTTACTAATTTTACAAATTTAAAAAAACATTATGACGTTTCTTCACAATTTCCTCCGGTCGGCAGTCCCTTCAAATTGGGATCCATCTTGAGAGCAGGTTTGCCAATTTTCTTTGAAGAGCTCATCGCGGTACACACCTTTTGATGCTTCTTGTTTCTAGTAAGCTGTTCTTCAAGATTCACGTACTAAAAGACATCAAGAACATCATATGCCTACTCGATGCTCCAGTTGCAAACTTTTTCCCAAGTTTCTTCGATTGTTTCGTACAACCTATTCATTACATATGCTGAAAATCAAATCAATCTAAAAAATGAGTAGAGATTATAGAACAAAACTCCGACAAAAATGAGTAGAGATTCCAAGTAGAAGTTTCAAGCTATTATCTTCATTCCACAGACTCCATACCTGCATCATATACATTATAAATAATTATACATAAGAGACAAAATATTTATTATTAGTGATCAAATTATTCAATATTTATTAGAGAAAAAAAATTATTTGCTGATTCACATAAAATCCAAGTAATCAATGATTGATCCAAATAATGAGTCCTGTAATTATAGAATAATGAGTCCAAAAGACCAATGTATTAAAGAAGAGATGAATAAAAACTGATTAGTCAAAATAATGAGTGATGTAATTATAGACTAAGGATCAAATGCACTTACAAATCTTTTCATGCCCATCAAATAAAAACTGGTTTTCCGAGCTTGCATTGATGCAAAATTGCAGTTTTTAAGGTGGAGGAGACTCAGAGTATGCCTAAAGGGATGTTGGCTGCTATCATGATTTACGTTAAATAGGTTTAATAAATTTGATAAATCCTCGGACAAAGATGGAGCTCATCGACGACAAAACAAATACTTTAAATTTGTTTCTCATTCAAACTTAATAAATTTGAAAAATTTGAATTTACATCATAACATTTACATCATAACAGAGACGGAACAAAATGAAAATTGACAGAAATTGAAAAGTTTCAGTTTAAATTAGCCTTGAATGAAAAATTCCTCTGAATACCATAGTTACAACTGCCTTCTCCACTTTAGGATCATTTTACATTAAATGCAGCTTTGCGTAGTTACAAAACTCCTTGAATGAAACATTCCTTTGGCTACAGCAGTAACAATAAACAAACAGTAGTAACTATATGAGTTTCAAATGCAACTTTGCCTCACGATAAAATGAAATTGATTTGTATACCTGGAACTTTATGATTATTTTATATTCTTAGACATCTTCATTATTAGGCATAATACATTCAAACTTAATAAATTTGAATTTACATCATAACAGAGACGGAACAAAATGAAAATTGACAGAAATTGAAAAGTTTCAGTTTAAATTAGCCTTGAATGAAAAATTCCTCTGAATACCGTAGTTACAACTGCCTTCTCCACTTTAGGATCATTTTACATTAAATGCAGCTTTGCGTAGTTACAAAACTCCTTGAATGAAACATTCCTTTGGCTACAGCAGTAACAATAAACAAACAGTAGTAACTATATGAGTTTCAAATGCAACTTTGCCCCACGATAAAATGAAATTGATTTGTATACCTGGAACTTTATGATTATTTTATATTCTTAGACATCTTCATTATTAGGAATAATATTATATTCTTATCTTAAAATGGTTGCAAACTTGTGTTGTCTTCCAAAATTAAGAGTAAGAATAATCATTTACGACATCTTTTCATATTCTTCTCCTAAAATGGTTGCCAACTTGTGTTGCCTTCCAAAATTAAGAGTAAGAATAATCATCTAAGGCATCATTTATATTCTTATCCTAAAATAGTTGCAAACTTTTGTTGTCTTCCAAAATTAAGAGTAAGAATAATCATCTACGACATCTTTTCATATTCTTATCCTAAAATGGTCGCAAACTTGTGTTGTTTTCCAAAATTAAGTGTAAGAATAATCATCTAATTGGGCACCAAAAAGAACCACTTCCATAATGCATGAAACCTAATTAAGCTCATCCATAGAAATGAATGTTTTGTAAAAATGAATGCTTTGCAAAAAAAAGTTCTTCCCTGATATTCCATAATGCATCAAACCTAATTAAGCCCATCTGAGTAACTCAAAAGCATAATAAATTATTCTTCCAAAATTAATTTGGAAAACCATAGTAAAAATGAATGTTTTGTCAAGAGATTCCAGAAAATTCATTTGGAAAGTCATAGTAAAAATTTATTTGGAAAGCCATAGTAATATTTCCAAAAAAAAACAGGATAAAGGAAGCAACTCAGCAGAAATTATAGTTCAGCTAAGGACATAAAATGACATAAAATGTTAATAATATGGGGCAGTAATTCAGCAAACATTATTTCCTCCTTCCCCTCTATTTACTCGGGTAAAGTCACTTCAAGCTGTTCCTCTTTGTTCCTCTTCCATTAAATCTTGCGATATATCAATATCAGTTTTAAGATGAAAAAGAACATATACCATAGAAGCTAATTATTGAGAGAGTTACCATAGGTGTTTTCAAACGAGTCGTGGAAGATCTAATCCAACTAGACGAGCATATTAATGCACTCACTTGTTTTTGACGAAAGCATACTTATATAGTCATTTAGAACTCTTCCACCAGTACTAAATGCAGATTCAGATGCAACTGTTGTTAATGGAATTGATAATATATCCCTAGTCATTTTCGATAAGCAATAATACTCAACTGTTGTTAATGGAATTGATAATATATCCCTAGCCATTTTCGATAAGCAATAATACTTGAGAGTGTTCGACTTCCACCAATCAAGAATTTCAAAATTTTCAGTATTGGCCAAAAAAAGATCATCCTTGTAAATCTGATTTTGAAGGTTGAATGGAACCAGATGAAAGAACATAATCTGTAAATGCAAGCATGCAATCATAACTTTGTGAATTAACCGAATCAGTTTGCAACTCCGAAGAAACATTGCCAATTGCAGAACTAGAACTAGCAATATCACTTGCATACGTGTTGTAAATTTGCAACATTACATCCTCAACTTGCTTAATTTTAGAGTCTAATTCAAGAGGTGTATACATCTTGCTAAAAGTAAAATGTATGAACTTCATTTTCCAACGAGGATCCAAGACAGCTGCAACAGACATTAGGAGATTGCAATCACCCCAATATTTGTCAAATTTAACTCTCATAGCAAAAGCCATGTTCCTCATATAATCATCAGCGAATGTCGACTCATCCAACAACAATTTATTTATTTGGAAAACAGCAGTTAAAAAAATATTTGAGGTCGGGTAGGAAGAACCTGAAATCATTATTTGTCACGTTAATTAAAACAATAAAATTCATTATATGCATAAAATCGTAGAAAAAACACAATTAAGGTTCTGTATAAAGAACCTGAAATCGTTTTTGTCACATTATTAAAAACAACAATAAATTTTCTGAGTTTGTCATATTTCTCCCAATCTAAATCTAAAGGCAACCAACTGAAATTGTTATCTCGATTTGCA